TGGCTCTAATGATTTCAGGGCAAGACGGGGTTTGATTCCCCGCGTCTGAATAAATGGGGGGGCAAATCCTATTTTGCTTGGTATCCAGGATTTTTTGGATTGGAGTCTGGGAAGCATGGTTCTGATCAAGAAGCGAACTGCCAAGCCGGAGCCGTAGAGTATCTTCAACCAAGATTGATTTCCCCAGTAGTTGATCCACGTCGAGAATATAAGTACACTGATATTCTAAGCTGGATTCAAGAAGAATAAGTTGAACGTGGTGTATGGTGCACATCCCTGACTTATAACCAGACCTCCGGAAGTATATCATGGGAAAGACGGGTTCGATTCCCGGCGTTCGAATGAGGTAGAATTTTCGTATTTTTTTTATTTATTTGGAAAGAAATAGCTGCCTATTGCGAAGCCGGCGTCGCAGAATTGGATATTTTCAACCAACATGATGGGTTGGTTCAATATTGGTTTCCCCAATGTTCATCAAGACGTCGAGAAAATAAGCACTGTATGCCAAAAAGACTCACTGATAGCTAAGCTGAGTTCAAGAGGAATAAGTTGAACGTGGTGTATGGTGCACAGCCCGGACTTTTATGAAGTTTGACTCTAATATCACGGGATGGACGGGTTCGATTCCCGGCGTTCGAATGAGGCACAATTTTAGGGTGTTTTTTTTTTGGAAAGAAATACTGTTCTGCGGCCTGCCTATCGGGAGCGACATCGGTGTAAGGTATAGCAGAATTGAGTCTTGACAGGAGTGTTGTCGGAGGAAGTTCAACAGACGTCTCCCAAGTGGTTCAAGTTGACAAGTAGTTGATCTACGTCGAGAATATAAGTACTGAATGCCAAAAAGACTCACTGATAGCTAAGCTGAGTTTAAAAGAAATACATCGGACGTGGTGTATGGTGCACAGCCCGGACTTATGTAGGATAAGTGGCGTATACCGGGAAGGATGGGTTCGATTCCCGGCGTTCGGATCAGGAGAGATTTGAGAGGGTTTTTTTTTTAATTAGGGGGGGAGGATACTGTTTCGCGGCCTGCCTGTCGGGAGCGACATCGGCATCGGTGTAGGGGCCCCTATAATTGAGAGGTCTGTTGAATTTTTGAAGAGGAACATGATGTGCGTTGATAAGTCAGACTGTCAGAGGAATAAATTCAACCAGACGTCAACAGTTGCTCAAAATTATCCCTCGAGAGAATTTATTGCTAACCCCAGGCTTGCATTCCCATAAACCAGCACCGGTTCAATTTTCTGCCTCACTACCCCCGATTTTTCAACCACACGCGGCATCTACCGGCCCGCATCATCACCGCACGTGCTGATCCCCCCCTAATTGGACTGATCTCCGGGTTGCTCCACCCGCTGACGACCTTTTTCGCTTGCTGTGGTCCAACGACTCTCCCTCTCCTTCTCCCACCTCCACAAACATTATTTATCTTCAAATATTCAAGTCATAATCGCAGCGGATGTCTTTGCGTGAGTGTCTTTCATTTCGCGGAGCGGAGATACCGGAGCAGTCGGAGTATGTGCTATTTTCTTACGTCGAGCGTCACGATACGTCTACGTCCTCGATTATTACATCGACGTTCGTGCCTTGTACCAGGCACACGCAGACGAGCAGACATATCCATAGCCTCCTCTCCATCCATTCCCACTCCCGCTCCCGTGTCCGATCCTGCTCCAAGCCTTCCCATTTCTGGTCTCTCCCATCTCCCCCTTTCCCGATTTTTTTATCGCTGACTGCCTCTTTTTTTTTATTTCGCGTATGCAGCCCTGCCCTCTGACCCGCTCTCCCTCTCTCTCCACTAGCAGCGTGAGCGCAAGCGCAAGTAACAGCGCCAGTAATAGTGCCAGTGCAAGCGATAGCGCGAGCAACAACGGCGACGGCCGCGGCGGCGGCAGTGTGAGCACAAGCAATTCGGCGTCGCCGTCGACGAGCTCCGGGCCGCCACCCACGTCGATATTGACGACGCCCATCGTGACGGTGGGGCAGTCAACGGTTCTGTGGGTGATATCTTACTTTCTTGTCTCACTTTTTTGGCTGTTGTCTTTCGTTCTCGTTTGGCTTTATTTACGCCTTTATTGTTGTGCTCTGTGTACGTGTTTGTCGGAGTTTTAATCCTCTCTTGTCACTCACCTCGACATGGACGTCGACGTGTCGAACGAACCGACTGAGCCTCAACGTGTGCAGGAGTTGTGGCTCGAGGATGGAAAGATTGTAATCCAAGCCGGAAACAGCCTTTATCGCGTCTACCGTGGCGTTCTGGCCACGCACTCGTCCGTTTTCAAGGACATGCTTTCGTTTCCTCAGCCACCCGATTCCGAACTTGTGGAAGGATGTTCTCTTGTACGCCTCCCAGACTCTGACAGGGAGGTAACCCCGTTCTTGAAGGCGCTCTTTGATCCACAGTAGGTCGCTCTTCGAGATCTCTGTCTTAACGCGTCTCATTCTGAGTCTCAGATTTTTTGAGCCATTCCCAGCCTCGACAAGTTTTGAAATAATCGCTGGTTGTCTCCGCCTCAGTCACAAGTATGGCGTGGACTACCTCCATCGGCGTGCCCTTGTCCACTTGTCATCGGCATATCGCACTGAGCTGGTTGAATGGGACAAATCCGTTTACGGCGGCAGCGATTGGAGTCGCCCAACAGCTGAAACGCGTTCATGGGGCTGGCCCACCGAAATCACGTATCTTATTGCCACCATCCAACTCGCTCGCGAGATCGACGCTCCGTGGATCCTGCCTAGCGCCTTCTATGAGCTTACCATTGGCTATAAGGAGCTCGGAAAGGCTGTATTCCATGGGGCGGTTTGCAACGGTGTTCAAGTCAGCCTAAGCGCACAAGATCAAGACTCGTTTGTCCAGGGTCACCATATTCAAACCACCAGTACCATGGCAGACGTCTTGCGATTTCTATTCGATCCATCGGAAATTGAGGATTGTACATCCTCAAATAACTGCATTTCAGTGCGATTACAGGCAATGGAGACTCTTTGGGAGTATTTGCGTGGTTATCCCTCTGCCCCTCTCGATGTATGGGCGATAGCCGACTGGCGATTACTTGAGGGTCTGTGTCCAGCGTGCCTCGCTGTCCTCAAACAGACGCACAAGGATGCCCGGCAGGCGTTCTGGGACAAGCTCCCGGAAATTTATGGGCTGCCTGAGTGGGAAGAGTTGGAAAGACTGAGAGCGGCAGCCATTGGTGCCAATATATTTTGGTAACTGCTATCGCCGATTGTGAGTTTCTATTCTTCTCTCGACTGACACCACTGATCTGCTTGTAGGCCTGTTAACCTTTCATTTGGCTCCATCCTTTGTCCGTTTCCTTCCCATATCGTGTACAATAGTCGACTCGCTCAATACCTGGACTGACTTTGCGCGCAATTTACTACCAGTAAACTGCTCAGTCAATGATTCATCGTCTGAGTTTGAAGTTCAGTCATCCAACTCGCCGTAAAAAGATTTTATCTGCGGTAGTCCATTTGCCCTCCTCATTTGTCGTTCTTCGTTTTCAGTCTGAACTCAGCCGTGAATAAATATCTGTAGGATCTTTATCCGCCACTTATTTAGGCTCCAGTATACCATCACGGTCAGTGAATTTCAATGTCAAGTATCAAGGCTGAAAGGTTGAATATCTACTGAATCTAGGGCAGGATGGCCTAGGGAAATCCAGAAAGAGGCTTCTTATTGAGGGAACATTTGAGCTGAATAACTCGGATGTAGTGTATGGTGCACGGACATACAGCGACGTGCCAGGCGAAATGGTTCCGAGGCAGCACGGGATTCGATTCCCCGCGTCCGAATAGTCAGGGTTCTTCGCTTTTTTCTTGCCTCCGAACTCCAAGTCGAAATTCCAACGTTTACAACTGAGCTGAGAAACGGCTCCAAAAGAAGGCTTCTTATCGAAGAAACGTTTGAGGATGTTTATTCGGACGTGGTGTATGGTGCACCGCCCTAAAATATACCTGTGTTTCCCAGCTTTTCAGGGCAAGCCGGGTTCGATTCCCCGCATCCGAATAGACCTTGTGCAATTTGGTTTTTTTATTTTTTGCCTTTTTGCCTTTTTGCTTTTGTGAGAATGCTGGATGAAATTATGTACAAAAATGCGAGCATTAGCCGGGAAGCCCGCAGGCGTCAACATGAATAAGCATTGCCAGAAAGGTGCTGTGATGGGGAAACTCAGCTCATGAGGATTAAATCGGATGTGGTGTATGGTGCACGGCCGTAAAGTATAGCCAATTGGGTTGTAATTTGTTGGGGCAGGAAGGGGTTCGACTCCCCGCATCCCTTTTTCGTTCCCTTTTTCTTCAACTCTTGTTTTTGATTGACTCAAGACCCAATCATGGCTCAGAAGTTGAATGAATCGGCGAACGTATCATTTGGTTAGCCTGGCAGCTGCAGTTTCAACATGAATAAGTGCCGTGATAGTGACATTCATTTCAAGAGAATGAAATTGGATGTGGTGTATGGTGCACGGCCTTAAAATTTATGTCAACTGGCCAGCTGCAGTTTGTCAGGGCAGGAAGGGGTTCAATTCCCCGCATCCGAGTATGGCATCTGTAGACCACTTTTTTTTAAAAATCTTGTTTTTGATTAACTCAAGTAAGACCGCAAATCAAGTTCAGGAAGCAATGAATAAGGATTCCCGGAAAGCTGCTGTGATGTGCAAATTCAGTTCATGAGGAATAAATCGGATGTGGTGTATGGTGCACGGCCTTAAAATTTATGTCAACTGCCAGCTGCAGTTTGTCAGGGCAAGACGGGGTTCGACTCCCCGCATCCGAATAGGTGATTATTGTCCCAATTCTTTTTTTTCTTTGGCAGAACGCTTGGCTGTGCATGTATTTCATTGAGACGCAGAGGTGCATAACTCGGACGTCGGGTTGGTTCAATATTATTTTTTCTGTCAATCAAGTTTAACGGCATTGTCAAGTAGTGTATGCCAGAAAGACCCGCTGATAGTGCCAGAAAGACTTGCTGATAGCAAGCTGACTTCAAAATAAATATATCGGATGTGGTGCATGGTGCACTGGCTTGAAATCTGGCAATCTACGCAAAGAAATATCAGGGCAGGTCGGGGTTCGATTCCCCGCATCCGAATAAGAGATACAGTAGTCAACCCTTTTTTTTCTTTGGCAGAACGCTTGGCCATGGAGCACTGAAGGAGACTTAGAGGTGGATAACTCGGACGTCGGGTTGGTTCAATATTATTTTTTCTGTTAATCAAGTTCAACGGCCTTGTCAAGTAGTGTATGCCAGAAAGACTTGCTGATAGCAAGCTGACTTTAAGATAAATATATCGGATGTGGTGCATGGTGCACTGCCCTAAAATCTAGGGAGGTTTTTCCAAAAAAATATCTGGGGCAAGATGGGGTTCGATTCCCCGCATCCGAATAAGAGATACAGTAGTGTCAATCCTTTTTTTTTCTTTGGCAGAACGCTTGACCATGCATTGTGCATGTATTGCATAATGTATGCTGCACACACCGGACTTATGACAATCTGCTGGTCCTTAGCATATCACGGGAAGGACGGGTTCGATTCCCGGCGTTCAAATATGGAAGTTGTTTAGTTTTCTTTTTTGGAAAAAATGATGATGAGCGTCGTAAGGCATCAAGTGGAGTTTAACAAGCACAACAACTGAACTGACCATAAGAATGCCTTTTATCGAGGCAACGTTTGAAGATGTTAACTCGGACGTGGTGTATGGTGCACTGCTGTGAATCATATGAGTTGTAGGGCATTGATGATTTCAAAGCAAGACGGGGTTCGATTCCCCGCGTCTGAATAAATGGGGAGCAAATCCTATTTTGCTGGGTATCCAGGATTTTTTGGACTGGATTCTGAGAATCATGGTTCTGATCAAGAAGCGAACTGCGAAGCCGGAGCCGTAGAGTATCTTCAACCAAGATTGATTTCCCAGTAGTTGATCGACACGTCGAGAAGTATGCCAAAAAGACTCACTGATATCTAAGCTGAGTTGAAGAGGAATGAATCGGACGTGGTGTATGGTGCACAGCCCGGACTCATCACATTCTGCTGGTCTTCAGCATATCACGGGAAGGGCGGGTTCGATTCTCGGCGTTCAAATATGGAAGTTTAGTTTTCTTTTTTGGAAAAAATGATGATGAGAGAGCGTCGTAAGGCATGAAGTGGAGTTTGACAAGTACAACAACTGAACGGACCATAAGAGTGCCTTTTATCGAGGCAAAATTTGAAGATGTTAACTTGGACGTGGTGTATGGTGCACTGCTGTGAATCATATGAGCTGCGGGACTGGAGTCTGAGAATCATGGTTCTGATCAAGAAGCGAACTGCGAAGCCGGAGCCGTAGAGTATCTTCAACTTCCCAGTAGTTGATCGACACGTCGAGAAGTATGCCGAAAAGACTCGCCGATAGCTAAGCTGAATTCAAGAGGAATTAATCGGACGTGGTGTATGGTGCACAGCCTGGAGTTTTATCAAGATTGACTCTGATATCACGGGAAGGACGGGTTCGATTCCCGGCGTTCGAATGAGGCACAATTTTAGGGTGTTTTTTTTTTGGAAAGAAATACTGTTCTGCGGCCTGCCTATCGGGAGCGACATCGGTGTAAGGTACCGCATAATTGAGTCTTGACAGGAGTGTTCTCGGAGGAAGTTCAACAAACGTCTCTTAAGTAGCTGACAAGTAGTTGATCCACGTCGAGAATATAAGTACTGAATGCCACACTGATAGCTAAGCTGAGTTCAAGAGGAGTTAATCGGACGTGGTGTATGGTGCACAGCCTGGACTTTTATGAAGTTTGACTCTAATATCATGGGAAGGACGGGTTCGATTCCCGGCGTTCGAATGAGGTAGAACGTAGAAGGTGTTATTTTTCTTGTTTGGAAAGAAATAAGTGCCTATTGCGAAGCCGGCGTCGTAGAATAGGATATTTGCAACCAACATGACGGGTTGGTTCAATATTAATTTTCCAAGTAGTTGATCCACGTCGAGAAGCCAAGTATGCCGAAAAGACTCACCGATATCTAAGCTGAGTTGAAGAGGAATGAATCGGACGTGGTGTATGGTGCACAGCCCGGACTTATTAGTGGTATCAAATGGCTACATACTCCGGTGTTCGAATAATGGAGATTTCCAAAAAGGTCATATTTTTTATTTTTCGGAAAAATACTGTTCCGCGGCCTGTCTATCGGGAGCGCCATTGAGTCTTGACAAGGGTGTTGAAGACTCGGAGAGGAACATGCATGATGCGTGTTGATAACGAGGAGGAAGAAGCACAACCAAACGTCAACGGTTGCTCAAATGCTGTCTAAAAATTATCCCTCGAGGGAATTTACGGCTAACCCCAGGCTTGCATTCCCATAAAGCAGCACCGGTCCAATTTTCTTCCTCACTACCCCCGATTTTTCAACCACACGCGGCATCTCCCGGGCCGCATCATAACTGCACGTGCTGATGTGCCTCCTAATTGGACTGATCTCCGGGTTGCTCCACCGTCTGACGACCTTTTTCGCTTGCTGTGGTCCAACGACTCTCATTCTCCTTCTCCTTTTTTTTAAAAAAATAGAAGAATTTTTTTTTTTTTTTTTTTTCTCCGTGACTGATCTCCGGGTTGCTCCACCGTCTGACGACCTTTTTCGCTTGCTGTGGTCCAACGACTCTCACTCTCCTTCTCCCACCTCCACAAACATTATTTATCCTCAAATATTCAAGTCATAATCGCAGCGGATGTCTTTGCGTGAGTGTCTTTCATTTCGCGGAGCGGAGATACCGGAGCAGTCGGAGTATGTGCTATTTTCTTACGTCGGGCGTCACGATACGTCTACGTCCTCGATTATTATATCGACGTTCGTGCCTTGTACCAGGCACACGCAGACGAGCAGACATATCCATGGCCTCCTCTCCATCCATTCCCACTCCCGCTCCCGTGTCCGATCCTGCTCCAAGCCTTCCCATTTCTGGTCTCTCCCATCTGCCCCTTTCCCGATTTTTTTTATCGCTGACTGCCTCTTTTTTTTATTTCGCGTATGCAGCCCTGCCCTCCGACCCGCTCTCCCTCTCTCTCCTAGCAGCGTGAGCGCAAGCGCAAGTAACAGCGCCAGTAATAGCGCCAGTGCAACCGATAGCGCGAGCAACAACGGCGGCGGCCCCGGCGGCGGCAGTGTGAGCACAAGCAACTCGGCGTCGCCGTCGACGAGCTCCGGGCCGCCACCCACGTCGATATTGACGACGCCCATCGTGACGGTGGGGCAGTCGACGGTTCTGTGGGTGATATCTTACTTTCTTGTCTCACTTTTTTGGCTGTTGTCTAAGTCTTTCGTTCTCATTTGGCTTTATTTACGCGTTTATTGTTGTGCTCTGTGTACGTGTTTGTCGGAGTTTTAATCCTCTCTTGTCACTCACCTCGACATGGACGTCGACGTGTCGAACGAACCGACTGAGCCTCAACGTGTGCAGGAGTTGTGGCTCGAGGATGGAAACATTGTAATTCAAGCCGGAATCAGCCTGTATCGCGTCTACCGTGGCGTTCTCGCGACGCACTCGTCCGTTTTCAAAGACATGCTTTCGTTTCCTCAGCCACCCGATTCCGAACTTGTGGAAGGATGTCCTACTGTACGCCTTCTAGACTCAGATAGGGAGGTAACGCCGTTCTTGAAGGCACTCTTTGATCCAGAGTAGGTCGCTCTTCGAGATCTCTGTCCAACGCGTCTCATTCTGAGTCCCAGATTTTTTGAGCCATTCCCAGCCTCGGCAAGTTTCGAAATAATCGCTGGTTGTCTCCGCCTCAGTCACAAGTGTGGCGTGGACTACCTCCACCGGCGTGCTCTTATCCACTTGTCATCGGCATATCGCACTAAGCTGGTTGACTGGGACAAGTCCGATTACCACTGGGGTGATTTGAGTAGCCTAGCGGCTGAAAAGTGTTCATGGAACTGGCCCACCGAAAGACATCTCTCATTGCCACCATCCAACTCGCTCGCGAGGTCGACGCTCCGTGGATCCTGCCTAGCGCCTTCTATGACCTTGCCGTTAACTATGATATGCTCGGAAAGGCTGTATTCAATGGGGCGGTCTACAACGGTATTCCAACCAGCCTAAGCGCACAAGATCAAGACTCGTTTGCAAAGGGTCACTATATTCAGAACGCCAGCACCATGGCAGATATCTTGCGATTTCTATTCCATCCATTGGAAATTGAGGGTTGTACATCCTCACAAGAATGCTTTTCAGTGCGATTAAAGGCAATGGAGAGTCTTCGGGAGGATTTGCGTGGCAATGCCTCTGCCCCTCTCGATGTATGGGGCGGAGACGATTGGATATTACTTGACGATCTGTGTCCCGCGTGCCTCGCTGTCCTCAAACAGACGCACAAGGATGCCCGGCAGGCGTTCTGGGACAAGCTCCCGGAAATTTATGGGCTCCCTGAGTGGGAAGAGTTGGAAAGATTGAGAGCGGCAGCCATTGGTACCAGTATATTTTCGTAACTGCCATCGCCATCTGTGAGTTTATATATTTTCTCTCAACCGACACCACTGATCTGCTTGTAGGCCTGTTAACCTTTCATTTGGCTCCATCCTCTGTCCTTTTCCTTCCCATATCGTGTACAATAGTCGACTCGCTCAATACCTGGACTGACCTTGCGCGCAATTTACTACTAATAAACTGCTCGGTCAGTGATTCCTTACCTGAGGTTGAAGTTCAGTCATCCAACGCGCCCCTCAATGTGACAAGATTTTATCTGCGGCAGTCCAATCGCCCCCCAATTTTTCGCTCTTCGTTTTTGCGTGTCTGAGCTCAGAATCACTCTCTGCAGTATATTTTGCCCGCCACTTATTCAGGGCTCCGGTATGCCATCACGATCAGTGAATTTCAAGGTTAAACATCTACTGAATCTGGTGCGAGACGGTCTAGAGGAATGGATCCAAAAGAACGCTTCTTATCGGGGGAAATTTTGAGCTGAATAACTCGGACGTGGTGTATGGTACACGGTCCCACGTCACATACAGCGATACGCGAATTGGTTTCGAGGCAGCACGGGGTTCGATTCCCTGTGTTCGAATAGCTCGAGGGCAGCGTTTGTTTGTGTTGTTCCTCGCTTTTTTCTTGCGTCCGAACTCCGTCGGCAATATATATAGCTCGGGGCGACGGGGCCGAACTCGAGTCGAAATTCCAACAGTTGCAACTGAGCTGAAATAGCTCCAAAAGAAGGCTTCTTATCGAAGAAACGTTCGAAGATGGTTATTCGGACGTGGTGTATGGTGCACCGCCCTAAAATATACCTGTGTGTCCCAGCCTTCAGGGCAAGCCGGTTTCGATTCCCCGCATCCGAATAAACCTTTCGTGATTTGGTTTTTTTGTTTTTGCCTTTTTGCCTTGGTAAGAATGCTGGATGAAATTATGTACAAAA